TACTACTAGAATATGAATTTAGATCTAGATTTGAATTTACAGTTAGCCGTGACACCTTCATTAGTGGCAGTATTTCAAACCCCTCAATATGTATGTATAATTGAGTGGTTCACATCAAATTGGTTCGGTTTAGGTGGTAGTGATATGTAGGTGGCTACTGATTGAGAGTTTTAGGCTGAGCAGATCAGAATAAAGAAAAACGATACTTGCGTGTAGTTACATGACTTCTTATCAAAAGTGCACTGTAGTATAAAATCTTCTGGTTGGTGGCCGTGATTTTGTAATTCTTCTTTTGTTGGATTGGCCACGTTTAGTATGTCACTAAAATCCTCCGACTTCGAATTGTCGTAAAAACCCTGCCAATCATTTTCGTCCATAACCCCATTCCAGTCATAGGTATCATCAAATTCAAAATCAAAATCATCCAGCCAATCAAAATTATTGTATCGCTCGCTGGAAGATGATGAAGAGGAAGATGACGTGTCGCGGGTCCGACGCTTTATTGTATCTTTTGCTCTCCGTTTACGGCGCTCGTGAACTGACCCCGCCGTTACGGAATCATCAGCAGAGGCGTCAAAAGATTTTTCCTGACTAGCTGCAGATGTAGGAACAATACTATCATCTACAAATGTGGGTGTTTCATTAATATCTTCTGAATTTCCGTCCTGTGTGTAAGACTGTTGTAATGTAGTGAACGTAGTTTCAGGTTGTTGTGTCTGGTTATCAGTTCTATCGTCTACCTCCAGTAAACCCTCAAAACGCGTTCCATTCAGAGCCGAGCGACGCATTCTGTTCATATTGCAAACAGTAACCGCCGGAAAAGTTAAATTCGTTCTTGTGATGAGGTCGATCTTGGTCGCATACGAATGACTAAAGTAGTCTTTCAAAAGGTCGTACTCCTGTAGAAGAAGCACTGCCAATGCACCGGAAGTGACGATAAACCAGCATAATTTCATGAACATATTTTTAGCGGTGATAATATGCGGGATTCCGTGTGCAGATGTGCTAGTACTAAAATCCTTCAATATAGACACATAGCCGTCTTCTGTTGGTTCATCCTTAGTGTTTGACAGATACGTCTCATGCGGGAACGTTAGTGGGTCTATTGTCGATACAGATTTTTCCATTTTGCTTTGCTCCATGGTCAGATTTGTGTTGCTTGATCTTGTCGATTAGAATCTAAAATGAAACGATCAAAAATAATATTATACTTCAGTTCAATTGGACAATGTATTTCTCTTCGATACCAAATATCGAATTGTGTAATTTTTGTTTTTAATTTATTCAATCTAATAATACATCACTTTCAATCTTTTCTAAAGTTATACTACGATACCATAAAATACGATGTGGTAATTGATGAATTTGTACTTTTAAATTTTGTAATGTTGATGTATTTAGTACCGTAATCAATTTCAATTTCAATCCCCCTATTCAATATATTTATATGGTTTTTTGTATTTGCCTGTATATAATGTTTTTTAATGTAAAGCAATCAAATTCAGCCATTGACTGCTGATTGCTAATCTTATATCGGAATCAAATAATTTTTTATAAAAAATACGATACTCCTTTATTGTCATTTTAAGAACATGGTAAAATGAAATTAGTGTTGATTGATCCGATAGACAAAAACAGTACGTGCAATTTATAAATATAAAGTACGAATAAATAGAT